GTTTAGTCGAGTTGGCATGGATAATCAACCGAAGATACGAGGCAGCTGGGAAGAAATCGACCTTTGTCTCTTGATTTTGTGTCCTGTGTTCTAGCTTGTTTTTTGATATGTCTGAGTAGGTGAGGTTTTTGTGCTTTTTAATTATTAGCTGTCTATTCTTATTAGCAACTCGCCGTGTATTGTTGAATATATCGACATATTTCGACAACGATGGTATGGTAAGAATTTATCTCATCTCATCTCATCCCATTTTCTTTCCATCGAAGTCCAAGTGAGCAGGTATACTCAGTATTCTTCTCTACAGATACCTGCATCTTAGAATACTCAGGCGTGATATTAATCCACACTTGAATCTGCTTGAAGGGAAGTACTCCGCGAGTGTGCAAACGAACATGTAATTGGGAGTTAAAGGGGGAGCTTACATATCTGGGTATGAACTGGGAGGAGCAAGAAAAGGGGAGGTAGGTACTAGATAGAAGATGGAGGTATAAAGTACAGGAGCGGATATATGAGTGAGAAGATAAGTGAATATCCCAACTGGAGAATTCTCTGCAACATCAATTCAACAGGTGCACTTTCATATGCGTCATCTTCTGTTTAATCACACTAGTTCCAGGATTGGAAACTTTTCAATACTTCAGAGGGCGAAGAAAGCGATCATGAAACAGCCACATTACTTCTGAAAACGAAGAAATTCATGGAAAGATACGCATGCGTATGGCTGGTATTTGGAAGTGGGAGGGATGATAGATTCATATCTGTTACTAGCACATTATAATCACAATCCTATCTTGATTGTTGAAACATCTATGCTTTAGTGTCAGAATTCAAAGCTGTCTTGTCTTCAGAACGAACACCATACGGAGCGAGCAAAGTGGGTTGCAAGTATTCCTGGAGAGGAGATTTTATGAATAGGAATATCTAGGTAGATTTTACATATGAGATGGGGTTTGAAGTGGTCTTATTGTTTTGTGGGATAAAGATTGGCCTGAGAGGAGGCGAGGGGTTAGAAAATGCATATTTTAAGGAAGAGTTAGAGCCGAATTCTTGATATGATTCAAGCTCGAAATACAATCACGTAGTCACTGAATGTTTCTGAAGGACAGAGAATGTAGTACCCAGAGATCCACATGTCTACAGAAAACTTCAGCAGACTATTCCACAAGGCTCGAGGTCGTACAATGATGAAAAATGAGGGATGCGAGACGTTTGACTTCTACAACTGATCTAGAGAAGTCGGAGAAAACTAGTAACTTATTATCATCTCATCTCGACTCAGTAAAGTTCCCACTCTCATATACTCGTGAGTTGTCAATAGACAGCAAAAATCGACTTTTCGCTTACATTCCGAATTCCAGATTCGAAATATTAACAATAAAAACAAAATGCAAACTTGTATTGTTCAAATCAACCATAGGCTTAAACTTGGTGTGAGGTTCATTATTAGGAGGAGAGAAACTTCTCAGTGTCAATGGGAAAGCAGAACCTTGAAGCTTTACTTCAAAGTACTTCCTGTGTGTCTCGAGAACATGAAGATGGGAAGAGGGAGGATGTTTATAAATGTGGGAGGGAGTGGAAAAGTGGAGAAATGGGGTGGAGTTGAGGCTGAGAGTGCGAGTCCAGAAGTGGGAGTGAATGTTGAGAAAGTGAGATTGAGATGGCAAAGAAGATGATAAGGTGTGAAGAGGGACGGGAAGGATGGACGAATCAGTGTCTTTGTTTGGATGTAGAGAAAAAATATAAAGAAGAAGAGAGGGAAGGAGTGAGAGGAGATTAGATTATTCACTTGGAAGTTCGTGCTGGATAATCGTTTTGAGAAATTCAATATTTAAGAATAGCAGTCGATGGATAGTAGATTCTTCAACCAAAGGAGTAACAAAAACGAAACGAGAAGTATAGGTGTATGGAGAATTTGAATCCTCTCAGGAATAAGTCTTGATTCTGAGGATGGGACGGGTGTCTAGTTTCGTTGCTCGCATTACGCTTAAATCGCGTCTCAAAGTAGATATCCAGAAGATCGGCAAGGAAAGTATTATTGTCTTCGTGTTTCTGGAATACTTGAAATGATAACCACTGGCGATACAGCTTCGCATGCAAACATCCAAACTTCAACGCAGAGATAAATCGCACCCGAAGTCTCAAGTGAGCATTCATCGGCTTTGCACCCATAACCAGGTATTGAGATCTGATACCACAACGCCACTTGAGATCTCTGAGGTAATTTACTTCTAACTTTGTGGGAGAAGAAAGACAAGATGAGGAGCTTCTTATGTAAGTAGGTAATAGGTATAGAAATAAGTGGAGATATGAGATACGAGGGAGATAGGAGTTGCGCAGTAAGAAAGAGTGAAGAATTGGTGAATGTTCAACTGGAAGAGACATCAATTAACCCTTCATTCACTATCGTACTTGACTTTCATAGCTAGAGGTGCAATGTATTAGAGCAACCTCTAGGGTTTGGAGTTTTACTATATAAGAGAGGTTCCAAGTGAGATATTAACCCATATCAGAAACACCAGGGTTAATTTGACCGCTCCACGGAAGTACATGGCATTCACAAATTCATATGTAAAACATATAGGAGATTGGTAGTGAATCACATGCCCTTCAAACCATTACACCACCAACTTCGCCTTTCTGCCTTCACAATTTCCTCAAGACTTTCCTGATGACATTGATCCAGAACCATCACTTTCGACCATCGAACATCCCACCGTCCCTCTCATTTCCACAATTCGAATAATGCATTCCAGCGAAAATGAAATATCACCCGTTTTCCAGCCAGAATGTCCCCAGAATTATCTGTTCATGTTCTACATCGCCATCTTAATGATAATAAAACAGATACCCGAGCTTGTATCTCTGGTACAATCTATAGCAAGCTCACAGTGGGGACGCAAGTCAACAACAAAGATAGCAACTAGATGAAACTCTTCGAAGCACACTTGTGCCGACAGCCAATTTTGTAACATTGTCAAGTTAGAACGTGTACACAGCATGAAAATCAATCGTTGCCGTTCAAAAATGATAGCGTGATGCTGCCGTAAGGCCAAAGAGATTGCAACGGCTGAGCTTCTAGTATTTCTATGGCCTATAGTATGCTAGGACAAGAGCTCTTCTGCGGAAGCAAGGAGTGAGGAAGCACCAACCGGCATGTTTGGACTCAGCTGTGTGGTTTTTCGCATCTAGGATTGGTCCGGGGAAGTGATCATCACTGTTCTCATAGGAAAAGGAGTCACAAAGTAGGGTCTGCTAGAAAGATACGTCTTTTTGAATAGTCCATTGATTGTCCTCCGCAATATTTCATCAGCTAAACATCATATGCATCTATGCCTCCCTAACATCAAATTCCCACGTGCGCCTTGCTTATTATTCGCAAAGCTAAAATCCGTAACCTAATTGCACTCGCTGAAACTTGCGTACCATAGATATCATCATTGTAAAGAGTCCTTGAGTAGAGTGGGTATATTTTCCGCAAACGCTGAAATGCAATAAATTATTCATCCTTGACAATTGATCCGTCTGGAATACTGGATCTTTGAGCGAACTCACTGTTGAGGTTAGTGACGTTAATGAATCAGCGAGAGAAATGGGGCAACTCACGTCCAACTTCCATCATATACCTTTCGTACACCCGACTCTCCATAGGCTTCTGCCAATGCAGCATCGATAATGGTAGCTGTAACACCTGTACCACAGCTGCTGACGATAGGCTTTGTCGGATCAATACCCTTGCTCTCAAATATTTTCCTCAATTGGTCCGCGGGTAACAAAGTCTTGGTAGTTGGATCCAATAGTTCTCCCATGGGCAAACTGATGCTACCCTTCATATGACCGCTGGTCAAACCTTCTCTAGGCTCGGGATCCTTTCCAGTCCACCTTCCATAACTTCTCGCATCCAATATTTGTACACCTTCCGCTCCTTCTTTACCAGTATCTTTAATAATTTCACTAACCTCCTCGAAATCCGCAACTTTACTTTCATCCAGCTGTGGAATCGGATATGCGCAAGTATCAACATCCCAGAATTCCCCACTTTCAGTTGGATACCCCTCTTCCACCCACAATTTGAAATTATTCAAAACATGTACACTTGGATGTCCGAAAACCTTTAATGTCCAGCCCACTCTCGGCGCGCTGAATAAACCTTGCTCGTGAGAATCATATACAACAACTGTATCATCTCTGCGGATTCCCAACGCGCTCATAGCGGATGCGAATGTTTTCGCATCAGGAAGCATATGAGGATAAGGAGAACGTTTGTCGCATACTTTATCGAGATCAAAGAAACGACTGGAGGGGATTCGCTTTTCGCGGAAGGTTTGGAGACCATTGAGAGGAGAGGTAGGGAGGAACCATGTTGAGCAAAGGGCGACGGTGCGGGGAGATGTGGAGATCTTGGAGGGGGGATTCTTTTTCAGAGCTTCGGATAATTCGGAGGGAGTGACAAGGTATGATGAGAATGATCGATGGGAAGTCATGGTGATGTATCTAGAAGATGTAGAAGTGAGAGGTTGTCGTGAGAAAGAGCTCAAAGTTGGAGCTCGTCGATAGAGCATAGATGCTGCCATTATGGCAGATATGATGTTATCGCAGATTAATAAGAATTTACCATTGACTTGAGCAAGCTCTAAAACCTTTCTATTCAAAGCTGGAGTTTGGAGATGCTTGAAGTATTTGAAGCTTAGATCTGAACAATGAGCTTTCAAATTAACAACAAAGATTGGAATATATGTGTGTTGGAATCTTCCTTGGTTTGTAGTTGTTTGGTTGTTGGAGATTATTGTGGTATAACCTTATCAACCGCCCAGAAGCTTATCAGTGCTTCAAAAACCTTAGCACGTGATATGACCGCTTGTCGTTGCTCCCCCGCATTATTTGTTGATTTGACTCAAGCTATCGCGTCCACGGCCTTCAATGTTCACAACGTTTGAAGTTGCTTTTATACCGATACTCGAGCTCCGCAAATAGTCGCGGAACCAGCGCCAAAGACTAAGAAAATGAAAGTAAAGATCAGAACATGGAATGCGGTTGCGACTTGGAGGTGGGATCTTGACGAAGACGACGTCTGTGGTATTTGCCAGGTACATTTCGATGGGACATGTCCTACTTGCAAATACCCTGGAGACGATTGCAGTTTACGTATGCCACTTCAATTCCTTATGCTTGAATGGCGCAATTAATCAGTCAAAATAGTATCAGGGAAATGCGGGCACAATTTCCATATGGTCAGTTACGGATTCCATTGATTGACGGAACATATGTTGACAAAGATTCAGCATTGTATAGTAGAATGGATCAAACAAGATTCATCTAAAGGGCAATGTCCTATGTGCAGACAAAGTAAGCTTCTTTTAGGGCTGACGAGATTATCGCAGAATGTTGATTGATTGTACAGAATTCGAATGGACCGACAATACGACTGCGCCGGAGCCAGTACAACCTTCATGATCAAACAGTTACTCACAGGAAAGCGCGAGCACACGGCGTTCCACATACTACCATCGAGGTTAAGGAGTTACTTGTTTTATATGGCGTTGTTAATGGGGACAAGGCGGCAAGTCGGGCAGGCGTTGGACGATTATTGATACCCTCGGCTTATTTACAAGAATGTATGATTGTTTTTGTCGCAACTTGTGAAGGGCTACATCGACACCGAATGAACAATTGGCACATAGAATACAATCGAATAATATCAAACTTTGTTTTCGCCATATCTCCACGGATTAGTTGCTCGACTTTCCAGTATCACCCAGCACAATTTTGCAACACTTCCCCCTTTTTACTCGAATGACTACTCCAAGTTGCCATCTTATCGCCCAATCATCGCGAGTCTAGATTTGAAGCTCAATCATACCTGGATCAAACCACTTGAAGTCTAATGCGAGTTGCCTCCACGCTTTTTGGATCTCGAAAGCTTCCTGATTCATGCAGACTCTGATAGATCCGTGATGCTTTGTCTTAGCGGTGTTATAGCTTATTTCTATTCCAAAGGACACTCTTTTTTCCATCAATATCTCTCTCCTTGTCACTCACAGTTTTTCAGATGGCAATAGGTGATGATATTGTTGCCTTGTGAATGAAAGCCCTTTTTAAGATTGGTCGAATTTACAAGGTCATTGGATAATCTTATGGGTATAAGCTAGTATAGAATTCCAGTGAGCAGGTCTGCCTTGCCCGAAAAGGTAAGGGCTCGTTCGGATCGTTTTCTATATATTCGATAAACATTTCAAATGGCAAGAATATGGGGATATTGAAGCTAATACATATTGGGGCGTACTTGAATATATTTGAGTGAAGCTGATATATTAGAAGTAGTATTAGGAACGTGCAGAAAGTGAGGGAAATGTCGATTTTTATTATTAAATATATTGTACTCAATGTTTTATTAGGTTCAATACTGCGTCCAGTCCAAAAGGTTTCAGTCACACATTAAATTTAATACATATTGACTTCAATATCGCGCTCGGTAAGCGCAATATTAGGTCTAATGTCGAAAAAAAAAATCGATCCGAACGAGCCCTAAGTGGGGGTGAAGTGTTAGATATTAAGCTCACGTCAAAGGATTTTCGATAGGTCGAAGCTAAGGAGGCTCTTATACCCTAGGGGGTTTTTAGCAATCGGGTAACCTTGCCTCATTGCTTTTCCATCACCCTCTGCCGTAGCATCACTTCAATATATAGAATATGGATATCATCTCCTGCATTGCCACAGTCACTTGTAAGCTTACGGTTGATTTTGGATAAGCATTCAGAATTTTGAGATGGTTGTAAACGCAATGTCTCGATTGTATCTATCTAGACTCGAGTCCATGTGAGAGAGTCAATAGAATTTGATGTACATTCCATTATAGACTTCTTCGTTAAGTTGTAGAAGATAAATCAAACTCTATATCCTAGAATCATGAGATTTATATGTGTATTCAGAGAGTTGCATCGCTCGTTCCGGATAAGTAACATCATACTATTCACTGCCCTTGAGATAGCTAATGACCCAAGCAATCGCCCTCGGCAGGGCCATCCCTCTTTTTACCAGAAACATTACATGCTCCCGGTGGGGCAAAGATATTGTCTCTCGGGGTAGCAAAACCATGACCGCACTGATTAGACCAGTAAACCTCCTACATGATGGTCAGTTTATTCTCCTTCCCCAGAATATATGTTCCGGGTCTTACATTCGCGAACCAAGCATAATTGTCAGCATTTGCAATCACCAACGGTGAAGTTTCCATAGTAGAGCGCAGCTGTCTTGTAAACCAAGGGCCGTACTGGTAATCACCCACTACGTTTCCCTTTTGTTTGAAAGGCATGATTGCCGCTTGGCTGACCTTGTTGACATGGCTTAAAATAATCAGCTTTCGCTTCACGTTACCAGGGAAAGAAGTATGTCTTACGTTAGTTCGTGGAGAAGTACATAGCCACCAAGACTAAGCATTTTATACGATACAAATAGATCTATTGTGCCGCAATTTATATCGTCGAGCTTTGGGTATGCATAAGCATTCAGGGCAGTGGTATCGCAGAAGTGGATTCGTGTTTGTGGCTCATCGATCGGATTGTTGGTGTATGCAAGAGGTCTCTTATTTGAGTTCAATCCGCTACATTGTTTTATCATGGTCGGAAGATAGTCTTCTGGATGAATATCGATAGTAGATAATATATCAGCGCCTGTTGAGGGGTCATTGGTGGCTGGTGCAACCATATTTTGGAATACTACTTTGACGGCGTCTTGATGTTCGGGTAGAAAGTACTTGTCAAAAATAGCATTGTATGTAGCCGTATCGCTGTTGAGGACCTGGTTGACAACCTTTACCATATCTTTGAACGCTTGTGTGAGTGCATCCTTTTTCGTGTCGCCTGGACTATCCGTTGGCCAATTCAAGAAGACAGGTAATTGACGACGAAAGATGTGAGCTGGGCTGTCTGATTGTTCACTAATGTCGCTGCCGCTTGTTGGCATACCATGAGTAATCTGGCTAAGAGATACAACAAAGATGACAACAGTCCAACTAAGAAGAACCATGACGATTTGAATGCAATGAGTGACAGTGAAAAATAAGGCGGTGGTTGTTATTGAGAGATTTTTGGCAGCACTGTGAGTCTTTTACTAGTAGAGAAAGATTCACAATTTCGAGAATGTATTGGATACTATTGCATCTTTATAACATCTTCATATTCTGACTCTGTTGTTATCACTAGGTACAGATTGTAAGGTTTATTTTCGGAGCTCTTGGCTATAGTTCCTCCTGATGGAGGTTGAAGCCTTTCGTCAAACGCTATTTTTGGATTGTTCTTTACTTTCAAAACGACCAGGCAATGCCCATCGCCAACATGTGAAAAGTTTCAAGATGTTTTCTAGGATGATGGATTGGTTGGTGGCTCATCAACTTCTTTAAAGACTTGTTATGAGATGAGGTGAGCTTGAGCGTCTACACAATGATCCCACAACCCTACGCCACCATTTTTTTTATGAATAGAATCATGGCCGCAAAAAACAGTTAGATTTGAAGAAAAGATTTTTCAGACTAATTTGATTCGTGGTGGAGTACAATTTTGACATCTTACGACGGATTAGCTATGTAACTACTAAATCCCTTGATCTTTATGACGTTGTTCTGAATGACTTAGTCTAGAAAATCACCCAGTGTTGGGGTCTAGCTAATTTTAGATGTTGACGATTTAAAAAGAAAGAAACTGTCCACTTTTTGCTTGAGCTTTTGGTTAAGGATATATAAATCTTCAATGATATCTTTGTTCGCTGAGCCTTTTAACCGCGCACGCTGTCTTCTAGGCGATACGAATATAGTCTCTATCTTGTTCTTTTACGGCTTTTAGAACCATATTATCTTGTCATCAGCATATATCGCTAAATCTTACCACCGCAGCCATGCGTTCACTGAAACTTTTGGCTTTTGTACTCTATCTCTTTGGCGTCTATGGCGAGGACTTTGTGTCCGTAACATTGACCACATCTATCGTTGTCCGGGATGTAGTTTCTATTTTGCCTGGTTGCGACGGAGCGCCAACCGACGGATCACCACCATTCTGTATTGTCAGCTTCTATCCAACAACTGTCGCTAGTACGGCTACGCCAGCACCTTCATGTTCAATGCAGAAACAAGATCCTGATGCGGGTATCACATCCGCATATTGCGTATGCAATGGGAGCAAAACATTACCTCTGTTATCAGCACCATCGACAGCTGTGGCAACGCAAAGTTGTGCTTACAGTACCATTCCCGATAGTCAAATCACACCCACGATATCTCTTGGCCCAGTCGTCACCGATATTCGGTCATGTCAGATATGTACTCCTGTGGAAAATAACGAGGATTCCTGCACAACTATATCAGGCTGTTATCCTGAGTCCGCCACTGCTACTGTCCAAGTAGGCAGCTCTCCGGTTCACGTTGGGACTTTGACCGGCACCGCTCTGTATACATCAATTTCTAGTGCACTGAACCAACTATGTCCAAGTGTTACACAAACTTCTAGTTTCACCGCATGTTCTACAGATAGCATCACAATCAAGGACATTGATTATATTAATGACGAAGCCCTGGCCCAAGGCGAGCTCATCGTCAGAGTCGAAGCAAGTCAATACAACGCCACATCTTTACGCGACGCAATGATTAATTCTGCCGCTCTAACAGCCAATACTTCTGCGACAGGGAACAATTGTTACAATGCAACATATTACGCCGAGGAATTACGCAAACGTGTCATTTGGACTCCAAGAGGAATTCGTGACTGGTTTTCCCCAAGCGTTGACGATATCGAGCTTCCCAAACGAGATCATCCAAATAGAGTCGAAGAGCATATAAATGTGTGTAATGCTGCTCAGTTCGCTGGTGTTCAATATTTTGGGCAATATTGGCGAACGGCTCCGCTGCCCGGAGCAACAGCTTATATTGATGCGAATTGGGAGTTTACTACTGGGCCTGGGGGAGACTTCATTTGTGAATTTTTACAAGATCTTACGGATGCTCTTATTGCCATTGAACCAGAATTCGCACTAGGGGAGATTGAGCTGGGAGAGGAGCTTTATGCTGTTTGTGAAGCAGCAATAACTCATATGTGATTGACGGATATATTGCTCACCTGCTTGATACAAGGATTTGATAGTTCTGAGTCGTTATTGTATATTTATCATAAAGCTAGCGACGAACATGTATCAAAACTTTTGAAAGTGATCTAAATTCTGTTTGCTAGCCTTGAGAATTCGTAGTAATGAAGCTGCAATTAAACCTTTCGTCATATAGATGAGTGTTAAAACTAATGACAAGAATAGAGTGAACCTCTTAGATATCATCACCAATCAAAATTAAAATAAATAAGAAACAAAGATATTATTGAGTTTTAGTGAAGATGTACCTTCCCGATCGCCTAATTGATTAAACGACGGTGATCCTTCATGGTTCTTCAGCCACACTAGCAGTCAATAAGAGCCTAATCGAAGGGACCAATCCCCGTCTCATGTCAGTGTCATTGTTTGATTGCGCCACCTGACGTATTTATAGCACTTGGCTTATATATATATTTGTCTAACCCCGCGCATTTAAAGCATACTTATCCACTGACTCGGTTATTCTTTTGATTGTTTGTTTCGGTTTCCACTCAGTCAACTTCGTTGCATTTTTCATCGAAACAATGAACAATCATCCTCCATCGATTCAACGGCCAGCGATGGCTTGGCGCGATAAACTTCGTACAGAGCCCAAACTCATAATCACAGCATCAGTCTCGCCGCCTTCATTTTCACTCACAAAATCCCGTGAACTTCCCGTCATCATCG